GTTGCTGCCTTACGATGACAAACGTAACCGCGGGAACGAGCGCAGATCAACTTTTGTCAACACTCAAGCGTTTAAGATCAACTCTTGTGAACACTCAAGCGTTTAAGATCAACTCTTGTCAACACTCAAGCGTTTAAGATCAACTCTCGTCAACACTCAAGCGTTTAAGATCAACTCTCGTCAATACTCAAGCGTTTACTAGTGACATCGTGGCATCTGCGGTCCCGCGACGCGGATTCCCGGACAAGTGTTCGCTCTAGGCATCGCATCCATCCAGTATTTGCTTGCACTCTGATGTCGAGTTTTTAATACAGACGTATCGCGCGGCACGTCATGTATTTGTCATGTATAGGCGGTTTGTACCGCGTGCGTATGGTGACACAGTACACGCGAGAATATGACTGGCGTTCTAACTAAGCGTCTGCTACGGCCTGCAGCCGAACCCTAGCGGGCGTTACTCACCTCGAAGACAATCATCACTGTAACTATCAACTGTTCACTATACAACGCAACCTGAGTTCGAACGAGTAGAGTCGCCGTTGGAGAAGACCCCGTGGCAGATACACGCCCGCGTGCAAGTACACGCACGCGTACAAGTACACGCCAGTGTGCGAGTACACGCCCGCGCGCAAGAACAACGGGACATGTACTGTGAGAGACACAGGAGAGACCAGGCGTTAAAGACAGACACTTGTATATATATATATCCTGTCTAATACATGGTTACTATAGTAGCGACATCCTATATACGCATCCGCTCAGCTTCCTACCCCACACACCACGTGGCTAGTAGCTCACTACACGACGTTGTAATGGGGAAGGAGATGCGCATGATACATCAGCGAATAGCTGCAGGATGTTCGCATGTGTAAGATGTCATTCTGGTTGACGCGTCAGTGCGAACAGCCAGCGTGGTGGGTGACACATGAACAGGACGTCCTCACACGAACCCGTGAAACTACCGAGTGTGTAACCTGCCATCGTGTACAAGAAAGGAAGGGAAGGGAGGATATGAGTTTTGCTTCCCGAATGAAATGAAACTCGAATGATATCGATGAAACTACCAAGTGTAAATTCCTATCATGTGCAAGAAAGGAATAAAGGAAGGATGTGAGTTTTGTTTCCTAAATAAATTGAAACTAAGATTTCCTAACCTTCCTGTCCTTTTAAATGCGTCGTGTAAAACAATTCCTCTCACAGTCCATATGATTTTGTCGTGTAGACCACAATTGACTCCATATATTTTTTCTCCGCGTTTTGTTTCGCTCTGTGTCAACAAACAAACCTGACCATCCCTGCATATAATACACGCGTGTATATACACGTCCATACGAACACTCCGGATACAGGTCGTAACACATTACCCGTCATAGGCGCATATATGCAGCTATCTCTCTCAGGCTGCTCGCATGCAAACAGCACCTTGTCACTAACAGGACAAAGTCCGCAGATGGTTATTGTACAAGATACACACCCGCGCGATTCAAACACGTGATTGGCTATAAAGAAAACACATGCCGGCAGCCGTTGTTAGCATTGACGTTTGATACACTTGGTTGCGTAAAGATACATGCTCGGGCTGTAGTTTCATTTTTGTTTGTAAGGCGAGCGATATAGCTATAGTATGACTAGTTTACGTCTGGCTTTGAGACGCTGTTTCCGCGGCACCGCGTATACGATAGTTCGTGAAAGATGCTTTCGCAGAAGGTTTTAACGTAAAAGACGAAAATCATCTCGGTAGATAAGTTGAAAGAGAAAGAGAGGGGAAAGAGAGAGAGAGAGAGAGAGAGAGAGAGAGAGAGAGAGAGAGAGAGAGAGAGAGAGAGAGAGAGAGAGAAGATAGAGAGAGAAGA